AGGCCACAGGAGAAACTCACGCGCTGCGGGACCCACCCATGATCTTTTCTTGAGCGAGGAAGTCGCGAGCCGCCATCCATAAGGCATCCTGGCGCGCCTATGGGACGGACGGAGAAGCAACGCCGCTCTACGCAATTTCGTAAAGGCCCAAAGGCGCCTGCTTTCTGCGCGGGGCTAGCGAGAGGGAACGTCATTAGTGTCACGTCTGAATCCCCCTTAGTCGCCTTTTGTTCCCTCGCGGATGTTACGTGTTTTGCCTTTGTCAACTGCGCGCAGCCAGAAGGTGCCACACCTGCGGCCTTGTAGGCCGCGGGGAATACTTTCGCTTTCGCGTGACGTGCATTCGTAGACGTGGTTGCGACACTGGTGGCTCTCTGACTGATTACGAGGCGAGCTGTGACGCATCGTCTTGGTTGGACGAGCGAACGGATCTGGTCAAGTGTGTAATGAGAACTGTTCCCGAAGGGTTTCGAGGGGCAGTGGAAAGTCGTCCGCGTCTTTCTGCGGCCTCGCTGCGTCCAGCTCAACTCCTCGTGTTGCTTTTGTTGTTGGCGCGCATACTTTTGGGAGGCTGCGAATTCGCCAGAGGCTTAGGGTATCTGAAAAACACGCCCTGTTGTTTCAAATTCGGCAATGGGGAATCTGACGAATTGTTTTCTCTCTGCCCTTGTATGGCTCTGTCTCCATATCGTATTTCGAGGAGTAAGTCTTCGCACATCGTATTTTTCTAGCATGATATTATTGCCAGAAGTTTACGCTGCCACTCTATGAAATTTGTAGCGTCTACTTTGTCGCAAGCATAAAAATGTGTTTAGACCAGGGAAAAAATATTCGTGTTATGACATTGAGCATAGTGCAATGATGAGCAGTGTTGCAGCGCACACTGTTTCTGCTGCCTTTCGACATATTTTCAACCTCCTCATTCGCCGGGTTCCATCTGTAGATTGCATTGATTGGTTCTATAAGGTGCTTTGCGGGTAAGAGACGCTCTATATTTCTCGGAGTGTACGCTGAACCGTCCTGAAAACAAAATGCTCATATATCACAGTATCCAGCACGTGGTCACGAAGAGGGGTAACGGCGTGGGTCTCAACAAAACAATGGTCGTTTTTTTTCCTTTTCTTGCCCCGAATGGCAACGTCTTCTCCTTGGCGGTCAGGTTCACAGAGGAGAGACGCTTTGGGAAGTTTGTAACGCGCCATTGTTCCCGTTCGCGTCAAGTAGATGGATGTTCAATCTCAGGGAAACAGCGGCGGCGTCTCCGATTTCAGAGCTAACGGAAAAAAAGCAAACGAAAAGAATGAAAATAAAATAAAATAAAAAAGTATTTGAAGCCTCCGCGGCTGAGAAAGGATCGGGCTGAGAGAAAAAAACGGCGTCTTCTCGATGAGAGGCCTTCTGCTTCGCCACAAGATGGATCGAGTTTCGGGCTGCTGGAGCCGCTTCAGAATGGGATAGGTGACAAGTAGACGCGGTTTTAAGAACAGCTCCGAAACAAAGGCTGAGCCCCCGACACAGACAGTCTCCGCGGGGGCGCCCAGCGACGAGGGAACACAAAGGAACGTGTGAGTCGATAGCTCACCCTCCCGTCCTGCTGGTGGAGAAACAACGAAAATGGGAGAAGAGACAAAGGATGTGCGCTTGGGACGAACTTCCTGACTGACAGCGAGGCGTCCGGTTGTTGTTTACACGGGGGTTGGCGTAAAGACTGATGGAGGACGAGGCTTAGATTACACGCAGGCTCTTTTTTTCGTGGTCGACTCACTGGGTCGTTGGGTTACTGTTGCCGTGAGGGTCCCGAGCACTTAATTGGGCGACTGTGCTGTCTTGAGTTAGCTTATATGTCTCGGTATCAATGTGTTTGTACGCGTTATATGTAAGTGTGTGTTTGTTTTTTCCACAAGTGACGCGTACAAATTTAAGCGACCTATATCAGAGCGATGTGAGGAAACTATACGGTGCACAATCCCGCGTAACTCTACAGACTTATGTAGTCACCGACACACTCTAAGGAATCTGGATGCGTCTAATTTCCTTTAAAGAACTTGACTGAGCCAATCGCTGCAACCTACGAAAAAGTCGTTGCTCCGGATTTTTAACGCGTTAGCTTTAGACCGCTCGCTTTGACGAAAACCCGGTGGTGTACGTCAGTTAGTCAGCGTTGCGAAGAGAGCGAGAAAAAAGGGGGACAAGTTGACGGGTGTGACGCTTCCATTGGTCGGAAGCGCTGACGTCAGCACGTGTCACCCTCTCCCTCTCTCCCCGGCCCACGGCGCTAACAAACTGACAGACACCACCGGGTTTTCGTCAAAACGAGCGTTTTCGTCAAAGGAGTGTTGCATAGCTGGCGCTGAGCCAGAGAGTAGGAGGCGCCGCGGCGCGTTGGAATGCGGGCGTCCTCAGTTGCCGCTCTGCCGTCGCCGGATGTTCTTCGCTCTGGGTTTCCGTAGCAGCGGTGCGTGGGCTGTGATGTGTGTGTGTAGTTAAAACAATAAATGCGGTTCCCTCCACGAGTGATATGGATGCGGTTTCATCCACGAGTGGCACGGATGTGGTTCTTTCCACGATTGATATGAATGACCTATCCAAGCGTGTTGACGTGCTCTGACAGGCAGAGTATAGAACAGAGGGTGAAAAATATTACAAGGAGATCCATTGGTGGATTCTTAGGGAATCCGTTAGCATGACCCTTGGGAGACGCCACACACGTCCCCCTTTGAGAAACGCTAACGCTGACACCGTAACGAGGCCAAAAAGTGGCTGCAAAATAGAGGAAGCAAAAAAGAATGTTAAGACAGAAAAATGTACGTGTCAGCGTTAGCGTTTCCCGAAGGGGGATGGACGTGTGTTGCGTTTCCCAAGGGTCATGCTGACGCTTACCCTAAGAAACCACCAACGGATCTTCCTGTAATTTTTAGAGCTCGCGACACCTTAAAAGGGACTCCGGCGATTACATTTTTTTTAGCTACCCGAAATAACTATATTTTCTGAATCCCCGGCCTTTATAGCCTTTCCGGTATGCGATTGATTATCGCGCAATCCACAAAAAGTTATTGTGAAATCGGCAAATTAAGTTGATTCCAAAACCAATATTCAAATCTACCGGCGTTTTTCAGTGCCGTGACGTTACTAGTGCGCAGCACAAAACAAATGATCGGGACACTCGAGTGTTCCAATCATTTGTTTTGTGCTGCGCTGCACGGATGCTGGAGCGAGCTTCCCATATTTGCATCCATTCGACACCATGAAACTGTTTGTAATCCGTTGGGAACAAATTATACGTTCGGAAGACTGAACCTCTACTTTTTGCTGGCGTCAATTGTTTTCATTCTTTCCAGTAAAATCGTTTTTCAAACAAAGAGAAAAAACAACTGAGACCAAAATGGAAAATGTAATACCTTCCCCCAAAATTAAGCTTATTTTGGCCTAATATTCGGGTTACTAGTTAAGCGGTGTTCTTTCGTGTCTTTGTACAATTTTAAGACACTTCGGGTACAACGAAACAAAACAAAACAACGCCGGAGTACCCCTTTTTAGAAGAGCAGGGCGTGGCGAGTTCTGCGACCACAGCTTGTTATCCCTTGGCAGCCAATGAGAATGCAGCGTTTGCCGATAAGAATGCCGTGGTACCGAACACGAAGCAAGACAGGTTAATTAACATAATAAGCCACACCCTACCTTTCTCGAGCTGTCAGCGACTATAGCTGACAATGTTAAATATGATGAAGGAACGAAACAAAAAAAACATTATAATTTAGGGGTGTGCGAATACCGCTTTGAGTTCCCGCGCGCTCTCCTCTCCTCCTCTTTCCCCGTTTCTCGGCGCATACGTCTTCAGTAAAACTCCGAAGAGAGAGAGAGAGAAAATATTAATTTTAATTTTCCTAGTCCGGCCCTCCATTAAAAGAGAGCGGGTATACATCGCGAGGTTAGCGCCATACAAGTTTGGAATGACTCCATCGCTATGCGAGATGCCGAACCGCGAATGACGACTCTTGTACATGTATTGATGGGCACTTAAGACAACTGTATATTTATCCCTGCTACATTACAGGTTTGGTTTTCATTATACAAAGCGGCAAAATATTTGATTGGGCGTGGGTTAAAAAATTTTAAAAATGAAGACAGCTGGCGTTTTTCAGCTATGTCGGATACGTCATGGCGTGTGCGATTTATGCCAAGGTTTGTATTTGTCCCTGAGCTATAGGATATACTAACAGAATCCGTGAACAAACGAAATAGCGCAAGGAATACTAGGTGTATACGGCTTGTTTATACATCTGAATTAGGCCACACCAGCTCGAACATTTAATTACTTTCTTTTATATATATTGAAACAATGTGTCATGAACTTTAAAATCGTTTACTAGAACATAATGAAAAATATCAACTTCTAAACATAATGAAGTGGCAATGTTATTGCGCCTACTTACTATATTCGGGACGATACTTACTTTTCTTCATTTAATTAAAATTAATTTTCTACACTCTGCGCAACTCTTCGGCTTCGTTTACACGCCATCATTGCTCAACATTACCGTGATTATTCTATAGCGTTACTGCGATATACAGTTTAACAAATGAACTTGAATATACAAGATTTACTTTACGCCGGTACGGGAAATGCAGGTTAGCCTCCCGCTAAAATTGCTGCGTAATTAAAGTTGTGAAAGTGATTGTACAAGTGCCATCTACAATGTCTGGGAGAACTCATACGTTTGTTCTACGTGAATGTGACACTTGCTTCGTCCGCGGGCAATACGTGTGCGTGCGCTGATAAATAATCTCCCTAAAAAAAGCAGCCGCCAATGCCGTTATCACTTTTTTCACGTATATTATCGCTTAGCTTAAAATTGCTCGAAGTCAAATCAGATTACACCTTTTTTTTTTTTTTAGTTAGATTTGGTTGTACTGATCTGGGGTTGTTTCACTAGATTCAGTGACGCTAACTTTAAAACCACTTCGCAGTCATGTGACGTGGTTGTGCTTCTCCGTTTCAGATAACGCAGCTGAAGATCGACAACAATCCATTCGCGAAGGGATTTCGAGACACAGGTGCCGGAAGGCGAGAAAAGAAGTGAGTAGTGTTTTTTCGTGTTTTGTGTGTGTGTCTGTGTGCGCGCGTGCGTGTGAGCGTGCTTGTGTACGGATGTATGCGTGCGTGTGTGTGTGGGTGTGTGTGGTAGTGTGGCAGACCTCGTGTGTTGGATTGGCTCACATAAACGAGGCTTCTGCACGATTCATCACGGTCCAGCCTTCTACGAAGGTAGGTACACGCTTCTTCAACATTAAAGTCTCAGTGCCAATGAGGAATGACCTAAAAGTAGGAAGTTTAGTAGGACCTTTGTTCCGCTCCACTACGCTGTCCCCAACGAAGATGTTGCCGCTGCGCATGCCTGGCTAGCCTTATCGGCAGACTCCAGGACCTCGTAGCGGGTTACGGAGAACGTTGCGGGACGGCGGATACGAAGTTTTCTAATCAATGTCGACATTGGAGTAGACGTGGCTCGGAAGGGGAGGGTACACTCGGGGGAAGCTGTAATCTAAAGCGACCGAGTGACGACCGAAAGATACCAGTTGCGCGTGCCTTTATGCGATAAGGTGAACAGCAACCGGTGACACACTCCATTACAACCCCGACTCCCCCACCGCCGCCTCTCGTCAACCCTTCCCCCCCTCCCCTTTCATCTCACAAAGACTTCCGACGCCCCTGGTGCCGCTAGCGGCAAATCTTCGTCTCAACCGTTTAGACATTAAGGAGTTTTAGTAGATCGTGTGATAACTCCGAAGACGATACCTGATACTTCGCTGATGCATTTGCACAGGCATCACACCTTCAGCGGGTATATCCGTTTCGGAGATATCTGAACAATCTCAAAAAAACCTAATATTATGGAGTTTTTGTAGATCGCCTTTCCCTCCCCTAGATACGCTTTCAGCAACGAAGACGTCGCTAGTCTTTTCCGCAGAGTTGGGATCTCGTAACAAGTTGCTGCATGTTTCAGAGGGTGTTGCGGGGCGGTGGAAACTATCCAACGTAAACTCCCTATTTTTTGTGCAAGACGCGCTCAGTCTTTGGAGCAGACCTAACAATCTGCCTGGTGCGCGCTATACTATGTCGCGGGTTGTTACGCACACACACGCCATTTACACAGGTACGAATTGATCGTATAGCAAGAGCGAGACTTGCGGAGCAGCCGAACCCTTTGCGCACCTTTTTTCCAGCAGCGTGAGAAAAAAGTCTTCCTCATCGGCAGAAGCGCTCGCGCGCGCGCGGAGAGCCACCGATAGCCGAGGGTAGGGCATCATCGTGCAGGCAGCGGACTTCGCCCTACCCCGCGGCCGTGGGCATCATCACCATCATCATCTCTACGGAGACGCAGGAGCCAGCAATCTGCGCGCAGCTGTGGGCCGCGTTTACGCCGGACTTCAGCAATCATCCCTGACAAGCGAGCTCCGCCTTGTTTGCCTATTAGTGGCTCCGCGGGAGTCGTTTTTCATCGACTCCTTCCTCGCTTGCCGGCCATGTTCGCGGCGTCCCTCCCCGGCGAAACCAGGGAAAGAAAGAGCCTGGGCTAGCCTTTCTCCCGGAGCCTCGGGTCTTCGTGCACCGTGTCTGCTTCGGTCGGGCCGCCTGCCTACGCTGCCGTTCTTTTTCTTTTTTTTTTTACCTATTTGAGGAGATGCGCGGTGGCACCGGGGCGCTGCTGCGTTGTGCGTGCTTGCCCGGAGGCGTCTCTTTCGCTCTTTTTCTGTTTATTGGTGTTATTTGTTGTTGTTTTGTTTCGTCTCCACCGAAAGAGTCGAAATTGATTTTATTACAGCAAGCATCCCCCGTCCATGTGTAACGAAAACTCTAGTAGGATTCATGAATGATGCTGCATACTTTAGTGTACAGGGAACTCACGGTACACGTAAACTGTTGCTTAATGTCGCAGTCGGCTTAAAAAAACGCAGGGCATTCTGAGAATCTTCTCATCGCTCCACAGCCCCAGCCGGATTGCGGCATTGGTAGGTAAGAGTGCAAGAATGTCTCACTCAGCAAGATGTGTGAACAGAACAAGCCACACCCTGCGTTTCTTAAGCGGTCATTGGCTATGCGGAGAGCAAGTCGTCTGCTTCTCGCCCAGGAGTTGCGGTGACGTCAGAACAAGGCGGAGCTCTGATTGGCTCTGATTCGGAGGATAGTGGGTAGACTGCTAGATGCCTTGAGGTATAGTACGCACTATATTTTTCAATCAGCCATTAAGAGCTCGGCGTTCTGACATCATCGCAACCCCTGTGCAAGAAGCAGACGAACTTTCGCTCCGCATCAACCAACGTTACGAAAACACTCAGTTGGGAAACTCCCATAGAGACAGCTTTCAAAAAGTGGCCCCAAACTGTCTCCGAGCAACGAGCTAATGACGAACACAATGCCACCATTTCTCCCGCAGCGGCCACTCGAGGAACAGCACGTGACTTCTATTTTGGCTTTAAGAACAGATACAGCGGAAGAGGTTACAGGGGTGCCACCCCCGTCTCCCCGGCGGACGCGCCGCGTTGAGCTATCGAAGTTAAAATGCACCTAGGGCGAGACGTGCTACCTGAAAGGCCCGCTGAGGCATGGTTGTATAAAAACAACATTAATTGTGCCGCAAAACCCTGCAAACTAAAGATTTTAAAAACATAACGCGCCCCTCTTTTGGTACTAAACTCCAATAAATTTCATACAAAAAGAGTCTTTTCCGTTTGTTTTTACGCAAAAACAGGCTTTCAAAAAGCTCAAGGTGACCACAGTACAGACAAACGATAATGAGTGGCGCTGTTGTCGCATTTAGCTCGGTCTCGGTGGACGCCAGCGGCCCAGGTTTCGACGGCGAGTTTCCCAACTGAGTGTTTTAGTTACGTTGGCATCAACGCTCAAGTTTATCGCAGGAACATAGCAGGCTCCACGGCGAACTTTCGGGTTTACGTCGCGGGTCACGAACGTATGCTTTCAGCAAGACAGTGATGCTGGTGGAAGTATTTAGCCCGCATGCGGATAACCACTCTTGGTGGGTATGGAGCGTCTTAATGGTACATATAATTTGCCCACTATCTGGACATTCTTTTTGTGATACAAAAGCAGGAGGGGCCGGGGGTGCGCAGATAGCAGAGTAACTGGCAGGACGTGTGTTGTAGAAACTGCTACTGCGTCATTGCGCCCTACAATTTTAACCTTATTGGCAGCGGACTGAAAAATGTGTTCCTCCCTACACTCTTGAAAAAAGCTACTAGTTTTTACTAGGTAAAAACTAGTAACTGCTTGTCACATATTTTACTAGGTACCTATAGTAACCTTATAGGTAGTAACGGTCAAACGGAAACGCACGGAGTCACGTGGCTTCCGGTGTAAAAAACAAAGTGAGTGGCGGGTTTAGTGGGGGTCGGAGATGCGTGCCCCTGCTGAGCCTGTGTGGTGTGCTGGCTTCACTGAGCGACACAAATTATTTCTGCTAATACGAGGAAGCTAGGGTGTTATGAGCGCAGGTCATCTCTTTACCCTGAAAACAAGAATGATGTTTAGCGTAATATTTACGCGAGGATGCGCGTTTTAATTCTGGAGCGAAACCGAAACTTATTTCTATTTTGGATTTAATTTCTCGATATAGCACTTACTTTCGGATTGTTTCATTACTCAAGGTGTGTCTCACATCGTAATTATTTAGATAGAGAAGTTGTTCGCGGAAACTTTATTTTGTGACATACGTGTTCGATCCAGGCTGATATTTGTATTTGTTGTAATTGTTGAAAAAATCAGTGCTGATATTTGTGCGTTTTCGCTGCCTTTTCTCCTTTAGATAGTTATCATGGGAAATAATAAATTGCGGGCCTTTTAACGGGTTTTTGGATATTTAAATAATTATTTGGTTTAACATTATTCCTGCACAAGAATCATAGAATAATTCCAATTTTTACAATATGTCCACAAAACGTGTAAATTAATAAACGCTGTTCTCACTACAACAACCCAAAGACGGAATCCGAGTCAGACAGCTAAGTGTGTGTGTGTGTTTTATAGCAACGCGTGACGCATATGACTTTATATTACATCCAGTGTTTGAATGTTTGTCTATCTTGATAACGATGTCAGAGTTTTTTATATGCTAAAAAGGAAACAGAATGATACCTTTCTGGAAAGACTATTATGGTTAAATGGCGTATTTTCGTGACCTTGAAGTTAAGTGGGGATGATAGTGCCGGCAATTTGAATTAATAATATTAATATTAAAATTCAGATATTTTAATACGTAATTTTGCAAGTGCTAATATAATTTGTTGCTTATGACCTAATTTCAAAGGAGCGAACAAATATGGCAATCAAAGGTGTGCTAATTATCATCACCGGTGCCAATAGCAGCATTTTTAGTTAACATGTAATAAAATAAAAAGTCTGAAATCAATGAAAACATTCTAGCTAATGTGAAAAATCCGTGTAAAATTACATTAATTGTGGGTAAAGTATATTTTGCTATCAAAGTCGTGACATTTTACAATCGGCAAAACGTTCGAAATCGCCGCTAATATCCTTCCAGACCAAATGCCCAAAAATAAAAAAGAACTTTTTTTTTTATTATTGTTAATCTTTTATAACATTTAGTTACTTTCATTTTTGCGCTCTGTCGTTTTGCCAATCTCAGTTTTTCCAGCTCGAAGGAACACCTACCTGCTTGCACGTCTGCTCACTACAGCACGTTTCGTTGGCGTTGGAAGCCGGTTAAGCAGTAGTGATTTTTAGTATTGCGTATATGAGCGAACGCAAACGCTGTGTGTTTGCGTTACCTTTGTGTGCTTTACAGTGCGCGTGCGCGGAGCCCAAAATTGCGGTCTTGTATTCGCCCATGATGATGACGCGCATGCACAACGTGGGGCACGAAACTCTAACGCAAACGCACACCGCTTGCGTTTGCTTCTATGCGAAATACTAAAACTCTCCAGTAAGGTACAATCCCATACCGGCTAGAGCACTACGTTGGGACAGTGAAGAGCGTTGTTTGCATTCGGAAATGATATTTCGCGAACCATGACCGCGAGCAGTTCCGCCGTGCCCGCTGA